CTACTCTAACTCCCACTTTATTGGTGGCTCTTTTATCACTGTTATTGTCACAAACATACACACAAATATACAAATACATAAATATATGATGACAACCTGCTGAGTCCATTTGTTGTGGCTTTGTTGACCACTTTTCATTCCATCATAAGATTTTAAATTGGCTTGCTATCAAATATGACTTTAATATTCTATTAAATATTGATGTCTCTGGCTGTAGAAATATCAGGGCTCATTTAAGTTCTATTTAAGCTAAAATATTATTGCTAACAGTTCTGGTTAAGTGTGGCTAGCTCACTTTTATACCTGGGGATAAGGCTACTCTTTGAACACTGGTGCCAATTTTCAGTTGTAAATGAAAAACTGAAAATGTGCATTTTTGCAAAGGTGCATTTCTGACATCAAAATTTAATGAAGCAGTGTAAAAGAAAACTGGGTTTTATGTGTCTAGAGCATCAGGGCTTCTTAAAAAGATGTGATGGTTTCTAGTAATGTACTAAAAAACTTACTTCTGACTCCTTAAGAAATTGAGTGCTAAGAGGGTCAAGTTTACATATTTCAGAGTTAGTCTAGAGATCAGTAGAGAAAGGACAACAGTTGGTAGGTCAGTTGAGGGGAGTAGGATTGGGGAGAGACAGCGAAACTCTGAGTTATCTTGGAACTCAACCAGTTTGGTTGACTGATTGGAAATGGAGGCTACAGAAAAAGTGGAAGTTGAGCAGGTCTGAGAATTTGCAAAATGAGGATGCCATTAAGTGAGTGGGATGATCTCAGAAGGGTCATCCTCAGGAGGATGTTTTCCTCAGGAGGAGGAGAGTTAGTTTCAAGTGCTCAGTCCTAAGTAAATTAATTCTGAGACGCCGTGACAGTCATCCCACAACTCCTCTAAAGAACGAGCTGAGTTCCCCCTGTATGCTGGCAACGCTGCCTGCCTAATGGCTTTAGCTGTTGCTCCATGCAGCAATCGAGTCTTCCAAAGGGAGAAGCCTCACTTGAGGCCAAGTTGCATCTTCCTGTATCCCCTTCCCACCTAACCCTTAGCTTTCAGGCACTGCCTCAGCTCTGGCTTCAGTGGGGTCTGCTCATCAGAAATTATACTTTGATCAATCTCAGCATCTCCCAAATTCTGATACTCCTGCATTGAACTCTTTCTCCCCAAAAATGATGTCCAAAAATGCCTCCTCCTGAAAGTCAGGAGACATGCTCAGTTGTTCAGAGCAAGGGCTGCTCTTCCAGAGGACCTTGGTTCAATTCTCGGTATCCACATGGTGGCTCACAACTTTCTGTAACTCTAGTTCCAATGACCTGGCAACCTCTGACCTCCACGAGCACTCACATGCACTCGATGCACAGAAAAACATGCATGCAAACACTAACACATGTAACATGTATGTGAGCATGTGTGTAATTGTATGTATGTGTTCATGTGTGTGCATTTGAATCCCATTCCACTCAAGAAAATTTTCTCTATGAATCTCACTTAATTTTTGTAAGAAGCAGACAACTGATATCAAACAGCTCACTCCCTTCTTTCACTCTCTCCTTCTCTGTCTCCCTTCTGTCTATCTATCTATCTATCTATCTATCTATCTATCTATCTATCTATCTATCTCTGTGTCATCTATCTATTCTTTTATCTATCTATTCATCTATCTATCTATCTATCTATCTATCTATCTATCATTTATCTATTTACCTACCTATCACTCATCATACCTCTCTTGTCTATCTATCACTTTCCCAATATCTGTTTATTTTTCATAGAAACTACAGGTTATGCTTGGAATTAGGTAACCAATAGCATCATTTCACATATTTTAGTTGTCTTCTACACTCTTGACATTATTCTTCTGAGATAATGCTAATGATGAAGAGCCACTCCAAATCTGAGATTTACTGCTAACGAAGGTGCACAAACAAGACTCCCACCACACAAATGGAAAACAAAGGAAAATCAACGAACTTCCTCCTCTGCCGATACAGAAGAGACAGAGCAGCCCAGCAGCTGGGATAAATGGCACCCGTCATTTGTGGGGAAATGGCATCTTCAAGCCTAATCTTCGATTCTCATCAGGACAGTAACACATGAAGGGGCTGGAATGCTCAGAGGAAATATTTGCTCACAGAAGAGGAAGTATTAACGGAAAGCACCCAGCACAACACTGTCCGCTATGTGCCACACACCTGTACACGGTGCCCGGCGTTCATGAATCATAAACTCCGGCGTCATCTTCAGGGCGCACGCATATCCTACTGTATACAGAATGTTTATCAAATAAGAGGGGGCAAAAATGAAAGAGGAGAGCAAGAACCCGAAACTTCTAGAGCATTTCAAATGTCAGAAAAACAAATTAGCACCTTGGACGGGCCCTGAGCTGCGGAGGGGCAAGTGTGGGACAGTTTGCGTTTAATTCAGACGGTTATGGGAAAGAATCAATTCTGCAGTGAGGTCGAGGCAGCAGAGCATTTTTCTTCCGGACTAAAAATAATACTGCCTTCAGGCATGTGGGTTAAATTCCACATGCATTTTGAAACTGTTATTAAAGACATTAAATATGGATAAAGACGAATGGAAAACACACTGCAAACCCTCCTAGCAACTCCGGAAGGAAGAAAGGCCTACCTCAGGTCAACCGTGATCAGCCCGAGGGAGTGAGAAGCAGAGGTCTAAGGGCAGTTCTCCTCTCTGGAAGGTCATCCCTGCAACAGTCTTCAAAGTGATATTCACACAAAGATGAAACCACAGCTTCCGAAACTCCCTTAGGTGGAATGAAAGCATATACCTGACGGCGGATGAGGGGCTGAAAGCAAGGACCACTGCGGTCCCTAGCTTTTAGGCATTTTCCTGAAGCAAACACTTCGCTACCTAAGTAGGGTTTTTTCTTTTCTTTTCATGTTGGGTGCCATCACTCCTTGTGAAGAAAGTATAAGGACAGAGAGCTGCGGGCACCTGCTGGGTTTCTAACGCACTCTCTTGTTGCAAGACTTTGGAGGAGTAATTTGATGGATGCTTTTCAGCTGAGAGGTCACGGGTTTAAACTGTTTCTCAGTGGGTTACGAACAAAAGAGGTTGGAAGTCTACGAGAAACCCTTGATGGTGACACCCTTGTCCCTTCTTATCCATTCTGACACCACAATTGTGTTCTTTCTTCCAGCAACACAAAGCGAAATGGAAATATCATCGCAAGTATTTTTTCCCCCAGCCTTTGTGCCAAAGAAATGTGAGATCCGAGAAAAAGCAAACTCGATTCATCTTGAATGCCTAGTTAGTGTTATTCTCCTACAATCAGGTTCCGAGATCTTCCTGAGATTTATCGACATAAAAACCAGCCTGCCTCATAAGCAAATGTTATGGCTTATCTTATACAAGGCATATTACAAAAGGGAATGTTATCAGGGAAGGTTTAATTGTAAACCATGAAAAATTTCTTGACCCCAACCTTTAAAATTTAAGATTTATTGTGTTTTTTAAATTTCTTTTTGTTTTGATAAATAGTTTCTCATGGGTATATATTTTTTATCATTTTACTTCCCCTCTATATATTTATAGTAATATGGTTAGCTATTTTGTCTGACTGAATAAGTGCTATATTTTCTTTAATTTGCCTATTAGAGTTCTTGGTATTTTATTTTTACTGATGTTTCTACTTGCTTGTGGTTGTAATAATTATTCTACTGATAGTTACGTAATAAAGAGAAAAATATTACTTTCCTGGAGAAAAGAGTAAAATAAATACCAAATGAAAACCCCAGAAGCTCTTGGGAATGCCAAGCAAATTCTGGCATTTGGGTAGCCATAGGATGACCTTGCCAGTGTGAGTCAGGAGGTCAGAAGGCATAAGGACGTTAAGAACTCTGAGCAAAATGTAGCTGTGTCCTGTGACACCTCAGTCAAGGGCAAAAGTCGAGGATGGGTTTTCCTCAACACGTTCCTTTAGTAAATATCTCCAAACGTCAAGCCTAGCTTCCCGAGTGCTTATATCAGAAACCGCGCCATTTCCAAGAAACAGCAGGAAACATAAAGCTTGTCCTATGAGCAGGTAAGGTAATGCCTCGTGATTAACTTTGATCTTCTCGAAGAAGGTTATTAACTTTTTCATAGGCATTAAAAACCGTACTACCTACTATGACGTTTTCAACCCTACGTACGAACACACACGTACGTAAACACAGAGAAACATAAACTTAGACACCACATATCCACACATACCTATTTACACATACAAAGAGACACACTGACACATATACAGACACAAATTGACACAGATACATAAACATGTGCACAACATACACATACAGGCACATACACCAGCACAGATACACACACGCACACACACACACACACACACACACAACCCTGCACTTTGTTCCTCCTGAACCTTCTTCCCCTTCGCGAAGCAACAGCTACTTTAACATCACGTGTAGAGAGAGATGTAGGGACATGTATCTATATTTGCCCATGAGAGAAAACGTGATATTTCATTGTTCTTTTTTCTCTTGGATCGGTTTCTTTACACCTCTTCCTCGGCACACCGCCCTTTCCCTGACGCCGCCTACAGTCTTGCCTAAACTGGAGACGATTATCGACGGGATGTGCAAACCCATCGGAGCCACAGACTCAGTTAACGGTAAACCTGAGGTGGTTCAGCGCGCTCTGGTCAGGGCCACGTAGACCCCGAAAACCAGCGGCCGACGTGAACCCGGCTGGGAGGGGCGCGAGGACAGTGCTCGGCTGCGCCCCTCCGTTGCAAGGCCCAGACTAGTCACGCCCGTGCTTCAGTCCCTTCATCTTCTCCCCGTGATCATGGCAACGGGTCCCCACCAGCCTGTTAGGCCTTCGGCTGTGCAGTCTGTGAACTAGACCTGCCGGCACGCCCCTCCCCACAGGCCTCTATCGCGTCCTCCCAGACAGGGACGTCATCCCCTAGAGCACTAGCAGGGGCGCATGGGCCCGTGCTAGGCACCTCGCCCGCAGAGACACACGCGTCCGCACCCGGGCACACCTGCAGGCTTAGCAAGACGGCGCCGATCCTCATGGCCTCGCTGACTTCCAGGCTGTAGAGCAGCTGCGGGAAGCGGGGCGGGCTCTGGTTGTTGGGGGGCAGCACCTCGATGTACACGGTGCAGATGGAGTGTCTGCGGAGAGAGGGACAGCGGCTTAACATCGTACTGCGCTGCGGGACAGGCACCATCCAGCCTTTGCGGAAAGCAGTAAAGCCAGGGAAGAGTAAAACAGTAAAAGTTACCGCCGGAATATAACGCCTCTGTGAAGTTAAGCTTCAGCAGAAGAAAAACCAAAACTGCCTCCAGTACCTGCGTCTGCTGCTCAGATTAAGAACCTGAGTTGAAACGCAGTGGCTGCAGAGGACCCTCAGTGAATTAACTGATGACCCCGGTAGTCTCTAACAGCGAAGAAAAGCAAGCGAAAACCAACCAACCAACCAACCAACCAACCAACCAACCAACCAACCAAC